GAGTGAGTTGTTAAGGGTTTTTGGTGAGAGATTGTAACCCTAGTTTGCTCCTCTTGATTTCTAATAGTGAAAACTCCCCCTCATTACCCCGTGGACGTAGGCATCTCGCCGAACCACGTAAAACTGGTATTTGATTGTTTGTGCTATTGATTTTGGTTGGTTCTTTATCTTTCTCGGCGATTGGTTTGGTTTCTCGAGGCACAACAATTGGTATCAGAGCTCCGGGCAACGCTTGGGCTTTTTGGAGGTATAGATCAGTTAGGAAGCTCATCTAGAGCTTTGATTAGTGATAAAGATTGGATCTTTGTGGTAAAGTTTCTATCTTTTTCAAGTTGGATCTATTTTCTATTTGTTCCGTAATTGTTTATTGGGTGCTTTGACATATATGGCCGAAAAAGATAAAAGTGGGGAGGGTTCTTCTGGTGTGAAGGCCGTCCAAAGTTTGAATATACATTCTATGAAAATAGATGTGGAAAAGTTCAACGACACAAATAATTTTATACTTTGGCGATGCGAAGTCATGGATACGCTAAATGCACAAAATTTGAAAGATACATTAGAGTTGGACGGGAAACCGGCCGACATTGATGAAAATGTTTGGAATAAAATGAATAGAATGACGTGTGGTGTGATTATGTCTTGTCTTACCCAAGATCTAAAATATGATGTGATGAATAAAACTTCGGCAAAAAAGATTTGGGAGGTCCTAGAGGGCAAATATTTGACGAAGAGCGGAAGAAGGGGACATCCATTAGTGATCACATGAACCACTACACGAAGCTACTTGCAGATTTGGCGAATGTAGATGTCAAGGTTGAAGACGAGGACAAGGCATTGTTGTTATTGAGTTCCTTGCCCGACGAGGAATATGAGACCTTCGTTCTCAGTCTTATTAATGGGAAGGCATCTCTTTCGTATAGTGAGGTCACCGCAGCCCTTGTGAACTATCAACTTCGAAAGAAGGACAAGGAGACTTCCATCGAGCCGGTTACGGGGGCATTGGTTGCAAGAGCTAGAAGTCCAAACCGTGAAAGAATGTCGCAGTCTAGAGGGGGGCATCCTGCAGTTGGTAGGAATCAGTGTGCCTTTTGTAAAGAGGATGGACATTGGAAAGCCGAATGCCCAAAATTGCAAGCTATGAAGAATAAAGGAAAAGCTATTCATGCTTCAGAGGTGAATGTTGCCAAGGCTAGCGGCGATATTTTAGATTCAGATTCTTCGGGCTATTCGTGCTCAGCTCTTCCGTCGGTTGATGTTATCGACTCCACCGAGTGGATGTTGGATTTTGGTGCTACTTACCACATATGCCCTAGAAGGGATTGGTTCTCCAGCTTTCAGGAGTTGGAAAGAGGGGATGTTGTTCTCATAGGTAATGATCACAGATGCCCTATTGGTGGTATTGGTACTGTTCAGATTCGGATGAATGATGGTATGATCCGGGAGTTGGCTGATGTGAGGTTCGTTCCTCAACTGAGGAAGAACATCATTTTACTTAGGGTATTGGAGGCATCATGATCCGGGAGTTGGCTGATGTGAGGTTCGTTCCTCAACTGAGGAAGAACATCATTTTACTTAGGGTATTGGAGGCATCAGGCTATAGGGTGACCTTGGCGGATTCTCGCTTGAATGTCACATCGGGGTCCATGATTGTGATGAAGGGAGTCCGACGGAGTAACTTGTATTATCTGCTTGGGAGCACGGTAGTTGATAGGGCGCTGACTACTTCTATGGCTACTTGGGAGCACGGTAGTTGATAGGGCGCTGACTACTTCTATGGCTAGACTGTGGCATTGTTTGGTGCTGCGATATATTGTTGGTTATACCATGCACAGATTGTTGAGGAGTGATATGACTTGCAGATTGAAGTCATGTGAGCACATTGGGATGAGCGAGAAGACCGAGGTGGAGTTTAGCACTTCTATCCATCGATCGAGGGGTCTTATTGGAGGTGTTCAGCCAGGCATTAGGGGGCTTTCTGAGGAGGCATCATCGGGAGGTAATCGTTATTTTGTTTCCTATGTTGAGGATTGTACTAGGCATATTTGGATTGCAACCAAGTCCCATTGGTATAAAGCCCTAGTAGTCCGTAACAGTTGGAGGAGGTGTATGGGCAGAAAGGTTACCAGTCGTACTTGTTCTAGTAGGAGTCCTTTCTTGCATTGGTGCCGAGCTCATGGCAGTTGGAGACACTTCAGAGGAGAGGAGACAGTAGGGCGACGTGATGAGATGGCAGATTTAGTGATCCGTTCTTTTCTGGAGGAGGATCGGCATTGGTTGTCGAGCAGTGGATCTGGTATTCAGGCTTCGACAGGTTTGGGTCATCTTATGAGGTTGCCGACTGCTGCGTGTAGAGTTGTTAGATCTGGTGGAGCTGCTTTAGATTTTTATCGGCATCGGGTATTTGGCTACCCAGCACTTGGTCACATCGTGGATGTGAGATTGGATCCGATTGCACATTTGGGATTCAGGAGTTCATTCGGCTATCAGTTAGGAGCTTCTGAGTTTGGTCTGAGCAGGTTTGTCACTTTGGACTCTTGGCAGGTAGAGAGTATTGATCAGATCAGAGGGATACCGCAGCAGGTGGAGGTTGATGCTACTCCACATCGGGTAGAGCTTATTCCACATACTCCAGGTCATTCTGCATTGGTTGGGATTCCAGCTGAGGTGGCACAGCGTGAGAGTCATTTCCACATACTCCAGGTCATTCTGCATTGGTTGGGATTCCAGCTGAGGTGGCACAGCGTGAGAGTCATTTTTTTATGGGTGCAGATGATGAGGTGGTTGATTTAGATGCAGCTGGTGGATATATTTTGGATACGGCCATTGTTACATCTCAGGTGGAGGTGTTGGACTGTTTTTCATATTGGGGTCGTTGATGATGCTATCAGCCGCAGGTTGGATTGAGGGCCTTTGGAGGCTATAGGGTAAACTACGTGAAGGCTTGATTCCTTGGGCAAGAGGATACATAGACAGTCTTTATGATGCAGCCGTTTTGGTGAGCGATATTGACATTTGGGGTGAGTGTTTGCACTCCCATTTGGGTCTTAGCAAATGAGGCATTTGGTGTAGTCGGTGTAGGCTCAGTTAATTGGTGAGTAGACATAGTTGGTTTGGGGTTAAGTGTTCGCACTCCCGTTTGGGTCTCGATGTGTTGTGGATGAGGTCCGTTGTCATGAGTCTGTTGCCATGGCATACTGGATGCAGCAGTTGAGGCATTGGTTTGATTGGTGTCGGCTCAGTTTTGGTGGAAACATTCGCCGATGTGGATAATTGAAGAATTACAGAAAACAGGAAGGAACCAGCAGACAGACTGGCGGGGGGGCCCCAACATGCACACAAACCTACTGCGGATTACCGTGAACACTTAGAGTTGATGGCGGACGGTCGACCGCCGCGGTCGCACGTGGATGACTGTAATTGGATTTCCTCTCGGGTTTTGGGGTTCGGTTCGACGCCGCCGGTCGACCGCGAGACCTTCGCGGTCGACCGCCGAAGCGGTTATGACAGGGTTCAGTTTCCAGACCCGTTTTGTTTTGGATTTGTATAAATACCATTTGGGTGTTTTAGGGTTAGTAAGGCAGGAGTTTTGAGCAGATTGTGAGGGTTTTCTTTGGGCTTCTATTCTAAGAGCAATTGGAGAATTAAGAGTGAGTTGTTGAGGGTTTTTTGTGAGAGGTTGTAACCCTAGTTTGTTCCTCTTGATTTCTAATAGTGAAAACTCCCCCCTCCTTGCCCCGTGGACGTAGGCATCTCGCTGAACCACGTAAAACTGGTGTTTGATTGTTTGTGCTATTGATTTTGGTTGATTCTTTATCTTTCTCGGTGATTTGTTTAGTTTCTCGAGGCACAACACTCCCTCCATCTCCCTGACCCAAGTGTGAAGACATCACTTCTTCTAATTGGGTGCTGGAGACTTAAGAAAGGAGACACACCGAACACACGGAGCACAGCGTAATTCTTTGGAGAATTGACAGGCTTTCCGATTACTACTTGGATGCATAAATAGTAGAACATTTTGCAATTAAGATTTTTAAAAAAATTATTGTCATAATTAGCTATTTTGGAGGACGTATTAACTTTGTCGCACCCCGTATTATTAACTAAAAGTTACCCGTCAGACTTGCTGATTTAGCTTTCTCTCGTCACTCCAAACAGGATCTCCTCCTCCTACAGTCTGTACCTCCCACATACAATGCAAATCAGTTGCATAATTTCTAAATATCATTACTGTAACCCCCCCCCCCCCCCCCCAAAAAAAAAAAAAAGCCTTAAAACCTCGGCCTTGTACCTAAAACGGCCACTTATGTACACTATCAAACTTTCTTGCCAAAAATAACTTCAGTCTGCATGCTTTTAAGTATCTCACCTGACCATGAATCTCATGATCAGAGCAAAGTACTATTCCTCATCAGCCTGCACATCCAATACCACCGCAACAACGTAAAAAAAAAACAGCAGTAGTGCACAAATTAATATTAAATCTCTACCTGCACTAGAACCGGAAACAAATGTTTAATATAAGCAGTCCACAATCGATCTCTTAGCAGGAATAGAATACACATAGAGTAACACTAGAGGCACACTCTAGACCACACTGTTAGTGTAGCGGGTGAGGGAGTGTGGTTAGGAGTGTGCCTCTAACATTATTTATACACATAATGCGCCAATCAGAAAAATCCAGTCTATACATATAACTCTCTGTTGAGGGATCGATCCAGCGCAGCATATATAACCTAAAGATTTCCTTCCTCCATATAACTTGTATCATAGGCACTTCAAAACTAATTAGTTGCATAACTTAATTAGAATCTTTTATATATTTTTATATTTTGCAGTAGAAATCAAGTTGCCTGCAGGAAAAAAAAACTATATGTAAAATTAAAGATTATACGGCCTCCTGCTTCTTTAAAGACTTGAAACTTTCATCGTCCAAAGTCATGAAACTCTCTACGTAGAAGCTGACCTCGAAGTTGCGCTCCCCACTACTAAAGATCGTCGCTTCAACTCGTTTTTCCGCTGGGTTGTAGACCTGCAGCTTGCCGTCGGACCTCTCCAACAGCGCTCTTCCCGACGCGGAACTGATGAGGATAGCAGCAGCGATCGATGCTGTACGCCTTCACCCACGACGCACATATGTTACCACCCTCTAACAGCCACAGATCGACTCTCGATCGCCCGGAGCACTCCATGCACAGCGATCCGCCCAGACGCGTCAGGCGAAAGTCCAACGCCTCGTCACGAGAATTCCCTGAGAAATGTCTTACGCCGGGCAGCGGTAGCTTTGACCATTCCTCTCTCTTGAGATCAAACCGGGCTATTGCCTCGTTGTTGTCATCGTACAGATCTCCGACAGCCCGCCGCAATGCAAAGCTACCCGGCAGGAAATGGACGGCTTCGTCGACGACGACAGCCGTGTTCTCTTCATGAACCCTAAAAGGGGGCCCCTCCTTCTCCCACCATCTCTCTGACCCAAGTGTGAAGACCTCACTTCTAATAATTGGTTGCAGGAGGCTGAAGAGGGGAAACACACCGAACACGCGGAGCACCTTGTATTCCCCTGTAGAAGGAAGGTAAGCGAATGCCACCGCGTGGCCGCGGTGCACCATGCTGCGGAACCCCGAAGATTTCCTGGGCAAAGCGATCTGCTCCCTGGTCGCAGGGTTTTGGATGTAGATGTCATCAGAGCCGTACATGCAGACGAGGTCGAGGCTGCAGGAGAAGACGAGCCTGTGGGGCCGCAACTGCACCCTCGGTGAGTAGTAGTCTGTGGTGGTTACACGGTCTAGTAGCACGTGAAAGTACGTCCGGCGGTATCCCCCACCGTCGCTTTCGGAGGTCGCCACGAGGAGGAGAGGGTTCCGTTCGGATCGGCGGCGGTGGGACGACCTGAAGGAGGGGCTGGAGATGAGGGAGAGCCACGATTTGGACACCAGTTTGAGGCGCGAGAGGGTCTTCACGGGGAGGAGGAGGAGGATGTCGGAGACTACGTCGAGAGGGAGGGACGCCGGGTTCGACGAGTATAATTCGTTGTTGGTTTCAGAGGAGGCGGCCATGTTATCAGGTTAGATATCAGCCAGTAGCTAGGAGGAGTTTAGGGCTTAATTTGCTGATTGATGGGGGGTAGTATGTATTATAAATAGAGGAGGACGACCAGATGAGCCCTAGGAGGAGGAGGAGGAGGACTCCTAGTGCAAACAAAATTCTCCCCAAATCCGGCCTCCCTCTTTGAATTAAAAAATTCAGTTGTAGCTCTAGTCAGAATAGGAGAACAAATAATATTCATCGTCAAACCGAACAGACATGGATACGTACACGCAGTAAGCAATCAAATTATGTAGAAATTACAGCGATAATGATACAATAGGCAACAAATTAATATTAGACAAAGGTGAGTGGAATACCCATTACAAGGCGCGCGTCGCAGATCTCATTGTAATATAAGCATGAAGCGGTGTAGAGTTAAGCAAATTTTACATCATCCGCATGTTATGTTAGTAAAATTAAGATGAAAGGCTCTACTTTTATTATTCACAGAGTTTTCAATATATAGTGTACAATCCTGTAATCACAGGCTAATAATCAGGGAGATTAATATACTATATATATTATTTCCTAACATATATTCTTTCCTACCAAACATATAAATTATATACTATATATATTATTTCCTAACATATATTCTTTCCTAACACCTTCCTTCAAGTTGGAGCATGAAGGTCACAAATGCCCAACTTGCTGAGTAGAAACTGAAACTGCTGCTTCCCAAGAGCCTTGGTAAAAATATCTGCTAGCTGTTCAATTGTAGGAACATGAACAATAGTAATCAACCCATCTCGAATAGCATCTCGAAGGAAGTGACAATCAACTTCAATATGTTTAGTACGCTCATGAAAAACAGGATTCTGAGCTAAATGAATAGCAGACTGACTGTCACAATGTACTGGCATAGTACCAGGGTGTCGAATTCCTAGACTGAGTAACAAGCCTTTGAGCCACTTCAATTCACATAATACTGCAGCCATAGATCGATATTCTGCCTCAGCTGAAGAGCGAGAGACAGTAACCTGCTTCTTTGTCTTCGAGGAGATAGGTGAACTGCCCAGAAAGACAACCCATCCTGACAGAGAACGTCTGGTAATAGGACAACTTGCCCAATAAGAATCACACCACCCAGTAAGTGTCAAATTACAATCACTTCGAAGCAAAATCCCCTGTCCAGGACATCCTTTTAAATAGCGAACCACTCTGAGTGCTGCATCATAGTGATCCTGCTTTGGTGCCTGAAGAAACTGAGACAAAATATGAACAGAATAAGTCAAATCTGGTCGAGTGAAAGCCAGGTAAATAAGCCGTCCAACCAGCCGACGGTACGCCTCGGGATCCTCCAAGTCCGCGCTCTCAGAAGTGCTGAGCCTGTGATTCTGATCCATTGGAAAAGAAACTGGCTTTGCTCCAAGAAGTCCTGTCTCAGAAATAATGTCTAGAGTATATTTACGCTGACATAAATAAATCCCTTCTGCACTTCGAGCAACCTCTACCCCCAAGAAATATTTGAGATTACCCAAATCTTTCATATGAAAACATTTACTCAGATATTGTTTAAATTCAGACAGTGCAACCGAGTCATTCCCAGAAATAATCAGATCATCAACATATACCAGAATATTAATCTGTACTTTCCCTTTGATATAACCAAATAATGAATAGTCTGAGTAAGACTGAGTAAAACCATACGTACGCAACGCTCCTGCCAGCTTTGCAAACCAACATCTAGGTGCCTGCTTCAAACCATACAGAGATTTGTGCAGTCTACACACCTTCCCTGGAGCACGTCCATGAAATCCAGGTGGCAATTTCATATACACCTCTTCATTTAAATCTCCATGTAAGAATGCGTTGTGTACATCCATCTGATGCAACTCCCATCTCTTTACAGCTGTTACAGCTAAGAAAGTACGAACAGTAGTCATCTTAGCAACAGGAGCAAAAGTATCAGTGTAATCGATTCCTTCAATCTGGTGATTCCCAAATATGACCAAACGTGCCTTGAGACGTTCCAGGCTCCCATCTGAATTGTATTTCACCTTGTACACCCATCTGCTCCCTAGAGCCCGTTTTCCAGGGGGTAAATCAACCATCTCCCAAGTCTCATTCTCTTCCAGAGCGCGAATCTCGCTATGCATGACTTCCCTCCATCTAGCATCCTCCATAGCCTCTCGAAAGGACTTGGGCTCAGTACCTGTAGTTATGGCTGCAAGAAAACTTCTATGTCCCACAGAAAATTTGTTACAATTCACAAAACTGGTTATAGGGAAAGTAGTAACTGAGGTCTTAACTGAGGCAGGTGGCGAGGAGACCGGACTTATTATTTGCACTGTATTAGTCACATAATCACGAAGTTTAGTTGAAGGCACTTTCTTCCTTTTTCCCTTACCAATCTCCTCAGTACTAGTATTTGACTCTACTAACTCAGAAACAGGCTTAGCCAGAGTATCCAAAGGCAACGACGAAGGTCCCTCCAACAACTCGGACCCCCGCCGTGCCGCTGAACCATCACCAGCTACCCCCTGCCTTGGGTTGGTTGTTGCCGTGTGCAGGTGGCGGTGGTTGCACCGTGCCTGGACACACAGTAACCCCATCCTGTCCCCCCTGTTCTTCAAAATTAATTTCCTGATCATCCAATTCAGGAACACTAGGAAAAACCAAGGAATGCTTTACAGAAGTACAAATGGAAAACTAGTTTCACAAAAATCCACATCTCTCAAAACAAAATATTCATGCGTGTCTAGATCATATAACTTCCACCCTTTCTGCCCATGAGGATAACCAACAAAAACACATTTTCGACTCATACTCGGAAATTTATCACCCTTAGACCTTTGGTTATGGGCATAACATAAACAGCCAAATATACGAAGTTCATCATACTTAGGTGACATGCCAAACAAAATTTCATATGGAGTTTTATCATCAAGCAAGGGTGTGGGGGTACGATTTAAAAGGTAAACACCAGCCAACACACACTCTCCCCAGAAACTAATAGGTAGATTTGCCTGAAATCTAAGTGCTCGAGCAATATTTAAAATGTGATTGTGCTTCCTCTCTACTCTCCCATTCTGTTGAGGAGTACCAACACATGATGATTGAAATAAAATCCCTTTTTCGACAAAAAATTTCTTCATGCAATTAAATTCTGTCCCGTTATCACTCCGAACAATTTTTACTACAGCATCAAATTGTCTTTCAATCATTGCAAAATATGATTTGAAAAATCGAGTTACTTCAGACTTATCAAATAAAAGGAACACCCACACTGAACGAGAAAAATCATCCAATATAGTCAAAAAATAACGAGCACCACACGACGACTGAGTATGATAGGGACCCCAAAGATCGCAATGTAACATCTTAAAAATGCACTTAGATTTGTTCACACTAACTGGAAATCTATCTCTAGTCTGTTTAGCTTGATGACACACACCACAAGCTTTATTAGCAGACTGACTAGTGCTATAAATAAAAGGTAACGACCTGACTACTTTCTCTGAAGGATGCCCCAAACGCCTATGCCACAAATCCACCAAATCACCTCCATCAACTGTATGCGCATACACTCCTGAGTCATCCCGCAGATAATAAAGTCCATCTCTTCGTTCACCTACTCCAATCAGGGTCCTCAAGCTGCGGTCCTGTATAACACAAAGAGTTTTTGTGAAGTGCACCAAACAATCCAAGTCATCAGACAAATGAGACACAAAAATTAAATTACAGTTGAACTCAGGTACTAATAACACACGGCTCAAAATCAATCCACATTTAAAATGCACTGAACCAAAACTAGTGGAAATAGCCTTCTTGCCATCAGGCAGACCGACAGGACAGGATGGCATCTCACAAATATTAGATAATAAACTCATATCTCCAATAACATGACTCGAAGCTCCAGTATCGATAATCCAGGAATTAGCATAGTACTTACCCATCAAGCGATCATCTGAAGTAGTAGCAACGGCCTTGGAAAAAATTCCAATAACCTGTTGCCACTGTTCAGTAGACATACCAGGTAATGGGGATTCACCAGAGACATTCGAACCCGCCTGCACTGCACGCACCTCGGCGCCCCTGCCTGCCGTTGTCCCTCTACCGAGCCTGGCAGCTCCGCCAGCGCTGCCACGACCCTGTCCAGCCGCGAACCCAGTCCCGCGTCCGCGTCCACCTCCGCGCTGTGCACCAGCCCCACGCTCCGCCTGCCACCAGTCGGGATACCCATTCTTTGCAAAGCAATGGGATTCCTCGTGGCCTGATTTAGAGCAATAGGTACACACAAATTTAGATCTGTCACCCGAATCAAATCGACGGTTACCTGAGGGTGCAGTACGAACAGCCATGGACATAACTTCATCACGTTCAGCATCAACACGATTCCCCAATCGCAATGTCTCCTGAGCCAACATTGCCCGATATGCTCTATCCAAAGTGGGTGTAGGATCTTGTGCAAGAAGAGTAGATCGTACATTACTGTATAATTCTTCATTGATGCCAGCCAAAAAATCATGAAAACATTCTTCATCAAAGCGAGCCTGAAACAATTCCCCCAAATCACATTCACACTTCCCACAACGACAAACAGGGACTGGATTATAAGTAGCCAAAGCATCCCATAATGGTTGCAACATCCCAAAATATTCTGCAACTGACATAGTCTTGGACTGACGACAACGAGACAACGCCTTCTTGATCTGCTGTCTGCACTGACCATTGCCAACATTAAAACGTTTCTTCAGTAACGCCCACAGAGGACGCGCTTCTTCAAAATAAGGTATCGTCTTCCACAGGGAAGAATCAATACTATTCAAAATCCATTGCACCAGCATAGCCTGAACACAATCCCAGTCAAGAATCTGTGCAGCGGAAACAGGTTTAACAATGGAGCCATCAATAAATCCCCACTTACGTCGGGAAACAAGAGAAAGCCGAAAAGATCTCGACCATTCCTCATAATTAGAGCCAACCAAAATAGTGGTAGTGATCAAACTACCCGGAGAATCATTCGAATGGAGGTAGTATGGTGAAAAAGTATCCACCTTG